CCAAGAATCATGAAATTTTGTCAAGCGTCCCACTCGCATAAAAAGGACTCCATATCCATCCTCATGAATAGCATTTTACTCACCAAAACTTTGGCACTTCCGAAATCACATAACTTAAGCTGGTGCGTATGTGGATTCACCTGAAAAAGGCCACAAAATTATTAAACTGAAAAAAAATTATTTGCAATGAAACAAGTTAAAGCAATCGAAAGGCAAATCAAAAGGCAGATAGTCACACATATGAAGCATGCTAATCATCCAACTAAAAGCTCTCATAATACTGAAAGGTACGTCTTAATATTATGTAAATGTTACAAGGGGATTAAAACAATGTAAATGAGAAGTTAGTGTTCCTTCTGAATGCAACAGACTGATATAAAATGACTGAATAGTCAACAAAGTTAGTATGTATTAACAAATTATTAAGAAGGGAGATAAAACCAAGGCCACTAACGTAAGAGAAGTTCATGTTCAGTTCCAATACAAGAAATGGAAAACCATATAACTCACACAACTTGCACTACCAAAAGGATGGAAATACCAACAGAACTACTGGCTGTCACACTAGCCACTCAGCATAAAGGATATAATGGAGTATTCAGACACCAGAAGGGAGAATAGTGGATGCATGAGCAGTATTTATTTATCTTTTCTACCTGGCATAAAGCATCTAGAGAGATGTACTACACCACAAGAACTAAACAGTTTGCCATGAAACCTAACTAATGGTACATCTTACAGATGATCAGTTCCATAAATTTCAGGCAATGACGTACAAAACTGGAAAAACACTCAACATATTTACCTAAATGGTACGTACCAGTACATTTTGAGGCTTGATATCCCTGTGACACACTCCAATACCACGATGGATATAAGACAATGCTCTGAAAATCTGCCAAACAAGTATTGTCATCTACACATTAACCTTGAACAGAAAATTGAATTATATTGCTCTGAACATACAGTTCTCAGGCAAAACAGTTGAACGTCAACAAGTCCCAAAATACAGAACAGATATCTCCCTAAACATATTTCCCTTTCAGAAAACAAAATTATCAAAAGTTGATCCACACGCAACATAATTCATAACAATATTCACAACAGATTGATAAGAACTTGATCCTACATTACCAAGTCATTGAAGATTAAGTAGTAATTCAGAAGATTTGAAAAAAAATATATATATATTCACAAATTTTAAGTTTAATATATCAATTCTCTCAATGTAGAATATAGATCCTATTTCCATGCAAACTTTAACAAACTTCAAAATAAGAGAGGTTCACTAAAAGAAAACTGAATAAAAACATGACCTAACTATCGATCCCAAAAAGAATTAAAATAAAAATTTGCAAGCAGACTAAGCTATCAAGGCTATGAAAATGGTGCAAAGTAGCATGCATTAGACAAGTAGTGTATCAAAGAATAAAAAATACCTGGTAAGAATACAGCTTCACATATATGAGTGGCATCCTCTGGTTCAACTTATTATAGTGTTTGATAACACGATTTACGGTTTCGGGGACATACTCAAGTACCAGATTAAGATATAGTTCATCTTTTTCAGTTGTAGAGAAGAAGCAGTGCTTCAAGGACACAACATTTGGGTGGTCAAGAAGACGCATGGTTTGTAACTCTCGGTTCTTGTATCTCTTGTCTTGAAGAACCTTCTTAATGGCAACTGTTTCGCCCGACTCTAAGCATTTCGCCTGATAGTAAAAGATCAGCAAAGAGTGATCTTTTCATTTGCATAATTTGGTAGCACTGAGCAATTCCAAGTCATAAACAAAGCAATACATTACCTGAAATACTACTCCAAATGATCCATGCCCAACAACACGTTCAGCCATGTAACTAATGGTCTGAAAATATCAGGAAAAAATGCAAATAAATAAGTAAATCTTCAAAAAAGTACAATGTGGTTTTTGGGAACAGGTTTTTAGGAGAATGATACAAAAGCTATGGCTATACCTGCTTACGCTGGCCATTTCGACCACCAATAGTTGTAACTATTATGTGTCCTGTCTCAGTGCCATTACCATCAACAACTGCTGTTTCCATTTCCTAAAAATTAAAACGTCGCTCATTAAAGAATAGTTCTAATATAAGAATAGTTCTAAAAGAAGTTCTACATAAAGAACGAAATTTTTACAACTTGCACACTCATACCTTGTCATCCCGGATTTTCATCTCATTCATCTCCTCAGGCAGCCTATCAACCCCCACAGCATGGCTGCTTGATTCCCTTAATCCAGAAGTAGGTGCTACACCAACTGAAGCCATATGATAAAATACTAGCTGATAGTATTAACTTGATAAACTCACCTGCTGAAATTAACAACACAACATAAAAATGTTTAGACCTTGACATATACTATAGTTTGTCTCCTAACAATATCTTCTACCCCACTTTTTAGTTCAAAGTAATAGCTTTGACAAGTTATGTAAATTGACTGAGATTATCTTGGCATGACATGTGAAATGAGCTAACAAATGGATTTCAGATTACAAGAAACTGAGATGTAATGACAAAACAAAGAAAGGATGACATAGAATCCAGCAAGTCCTCTTTCTATAAATCACTAAAATTTTTTAGAAGGGGATCAAGGCTACTTACTCTGCCTAGATGAAAGATTAGACTCGTATATGCAACTTGCAAGTGAAGATAGCTGGAAAAAAATGAAAGCCTTTTCACTCTAATAAAATTTTATAGAAAGTCAATTCATTAATGTCATTCACTCTCCAAGAAAAGAAGATTTATAGAGAGAGAAGCATCGCAGTCATTTAACTATAATTATCCTTCCTTGCCCCTTCATATAGCTACAATAAACCATCTGATTATTGTGTGCCATATAATACAAGTCAAACTAGTCCAGCAACTTGTCAATTTGCATCAATAAGACTTGCTCATTGGAGTAGTATAGGAGACTAATACATACAAGCTGTTCAAATTAAAGATAATAAGAATTGAGAATCGTTTCATACGCAAAACAAGGAAGTTAGTGAAGTAACAAGGTCATTAAATCATTGCCCAATACTTTGGAAAGTGGTAAATTTCTTGTAAATTTGCATTTCTTCAGACAACATCAGTAGAATGACTAGAATTTAGTTTCATGTGTGCACCCCATATTTGATCTTATAAGCTGGCCACAGAATTGGCTCCAAGCCATCATTAAAACTCAAAGTTAAAAGTATTAGTCTCTGCCATATTCATGTAGACAAGCAGAAAACTTAAGCATCCACATTCACATTTCAAGTAGAGCAGAATACTAGCAGAGGCCAGACAGAGGGGGCAAAACAGTAAAGGACCATGAGTTTTAAAATCGAAGCAATAACAGCATATAACCCATTCTACATCTTGCCATGATTGTAGAAAAGCATGCTCATAACATACTTGAGTGCAAGATGCAGCAGGTATGATGAGCTATGCGTTTTAGTACACTTCAAGCAAATTCAATAGTATCAACGGGAAATCTGTCAACCACAGATAACTAAATGAATTTCTGAGTTTATTGTACTCAATGCTCGATGTATTTCACTAAGGAAGATAAGGTGATGGCAGGCAGATAATTCTTTTAGTCTTTTTCTATAATGCAATTATTATTAAATAGAGACGTTGAAGATTGAAAAAGACCCATGCAAAAGGAGTAAAATATTAACATATCATTTGTGATCATTGTTTTCGAATGTCTTTTCCATGACAAACATAGTGGGTTTCTAATGGTTTGGTTTATAGTGAAGATTTTTTCCCATCACAAGTAGATAGCTATTTCTTATATTTTTTCCAAGTGACAATATACCTATCAAATAATCCTTTGCTGATTCAGTTTTTATAATTAAATAAACATTATTGTAGCTGATAAATTGTGATTCTTGACGCCTTTTCAAGTAGTCCTGTTAGTATTTGGCTCTTTAAAGCTCCACTTCACTATATGTAGAGTAGGCAAATAACTCAACAAAGCCTTATAAATATTGTTGGTGCTTGTAGAGTGAAAGTTGTTTCAACTGTGATAAAGGTAGGCTTTTGTACGACTCACGAATATATGTAGCCCATCAATGTACTGAAATGGAGTTTAATTCTATAGGAATTTTAAAAAGCTCAACAAATCTTTTGAATCAACTGAAACATTCAACATCCAGTTCAATATTGATGTTCTATACATGCAAACATGTTTATTCTCTTCTAAATTGACAACAAATCAACATAATTTCAGTGAAAATAGTAACCTTCCAACTAAGACCTTATCCCTGGGACCCATACACACACCGCGAGCAACCAATAGTAATTTCCAAAGAACTGTTTACTTCCCCCGCCCCCCGAAGATCCCTGAAACAAAGCTTCTTTATCTGAACCAACTCCCAAAGCATCATGAAATCGTGCAGGACCTTATTGAGTCTAGATATTTTTCCTTCAAATTTTCACCACCGCCCCGTGCTTGTAGAAAAAAATAAGCAAACCCCATCAACTCTGCTGTCCAAGATTAATTGTTCCCATAAATTTTAAAAGGAGATTTGCCAGAATTCATGAAACTAAATACTGAAACTTTGATGAAACATCTATTTTAACATGGGAAGACCAAATTAAAATACTATATAGAAATGAAAATGTTTGTTTTTATCTATTAATTTTACAACGCGAATTTTCTCTCTCGTTAACTCAGAAGAGCTACAATCATAAAGCTAAAACGGAAAAATAAAAGAGACAACGAGAATAATTAAGGCCGTGATCCATACCAGAAAATTTTAAATGGAGACAGAGAGTTTACAGCTAGCGTGAAGAGGAAAATGCACAGCAGAATTTTAAAAATAATAAACACACATTTCGTAATATAATAACCAAACTATGATGCTAAATTGCTAATTTCAGAAAAACTAGAGCAGAAATAGGAAAAACAAACAGACCTTTAAATTAAAAAGAAACAGTTGGTTTTAGAAACAGACAACAGATCCACGCAGAAAAATCGAAAAAACATAGATTACGCTTTTACAATTTAAAACCAAAAGAACGCTTCGCAATCAAAATTTCAGGAACAGTTAATTAAACACAAGAGAAAGAGCGGTAAAAGAAATTCGTACCGATGGAATCAGAATGCTAAGTAGGAGGTGGAGCAGACACAGATGATCATCGGTGACTCCCTCTAATGATTAATTTGTGGCCTAAATTATCCCACCCCATTACCCTGAGAGAGACGGATAAATACAAGATAGGGAGAGACTAATCACTAATGTGTATTTATTGTAATTTGTTTTTTTAATTTTTTATTTATTTTTGGCGACAATGCAATAATGGTTGCAAAGTGTCACTAGTAAAGTATTGTCCTTTGGGGTGTGTTTGAGTCACATTATTTTGAAAGAATGTATTATAGAATAATAAATTGATGGAGAATGTGTGGTTGAAAAGGAAAGAAAAATTATTGATGTGATGGAAAATATTATTTTATTGAAAAATGTGTGGTTGAAAATGAGTAGAAGAATGAGAATGAAAAAAATAATATGTACCAAACAAGGGCTAAATTCCGGTTTCTAACTTTTATTTTTATTAAGTATTATTTTTTAATATTAGTGTTAGAAGTGTAAAAATAAGGGAAAATTGCATCAACGTCAACATTTTCATTATTTGTAAACTTTATCTTAACCTTTAACCTGTGTTAACGAAGAACCATAACCTTTCAGAAATATACGGCAGATGTCCAAATGAATCATCCATTTGACAATTAGTTGACCTAAAAAATTGTAAAAATTGAATATTTTGATTATTTTAATTAAACTCTACCTCCCCCTCCACTTTCCCACCCCAACCTGAAACCGCCACGAAAGCCCCACCACAAAACCGCTATGAAATTATATTGAACATCTTCTTTTTCTTCACAATTCAAAGCGAATGCAAGTCCCAATAGTCTACTTCCCAATTCAAGAATGCAAAAGTCGTCGCTTATTTGAGAACAAGCGGGACGAGAAGATGTTCGAATAATTGGGATGAGAGAACTTCAATTTGCAACAATTTGATTGGTGTCACGTGTAATCATGATAATTCAAGAGTGATAGTTGTTCGATTGCTTGGAATTGGATTCTGTGATCACATTCCTTTGAACTCTCTTGGTTGCTTTTCGGCCCTTCAGATCTTGAGTTTGAGATGTAACGGTTTTAGTTGATCTTTTCCTATTGATCTTCTGGAGCTAGGGAATTTGTCTGGTCTTCATCTTCAGTTCAATAATTTTCAGGATCCATTGCCATGGGATTTTTCAGTTTGGAAAAATCTGTATGTATTAAATTTGTCTAATGATGCTTTCAATTGGAGTATTCTTCCATTTACAAATTCAACTGTTTTGAGTCTTGCTAATAATTTTATTTTTGGTGATATTCATGATCTGTATGTCTTTAGTTTGCAACTATTAGATCTGTCCAACAATAATCTTATCAGAGTTGTGCCTCGATCTCTTCTTAGATTTCCTAGTTCAGCATTTGCTAGCAATAAGATTTCCTAGCTCACATCAACGAAATGTTTGGCACCTCGATGTAGCTCTTCGCCACCTGGGGCTATAGTATGTTCCAAGAGTTGGGTTCATCATTTTTAAGGGGGTGAGGATTTTTGTAGCGATTTCAAGTGTGGGTGGGGGTGGGTTTGGTAGGGGAAAGTGGAGGGGGAGGGAGAGGGTGGTTTTATTTTTTATTTTTTTTGGGTTTTTAAATTTATTTTACATGGGATTGATTAAAATGCACTTACTTAAAATAATCAAAATACTCAATTTTTACATTTTTCAGGTCAACTAAAGGTCATATATTTGGACATCTGCTACATATTTTTGAAAGGTTAGCACAAATTGAAAATTAGAATAAAGTCTGCAAAAAATGAATAGATTAGAGACTGCTGCTGCAATTTTCCCTAAAAATAATAGTGTATGTTTTGACCATTCAGTAGAGTTCAATTAATCATGGGCAGTATCTACTTTTAGTGGAAAAAATTTGAGAAATGCTACAAATATAACCCGGGTGACAGCTCGGGTGTCAGGGGCCTGCAATTAAAATAATCACATTCAGGGGCGGGCCCCACCGTTTTTTTAGAGGGCTGTGACCCGAGTTGTGAAGCTCGGGCTGTACAAATAGCATTTCTGAAAAAATTTAGCCCTACAACCATTAATTTAAAATTTTTTAATTTTCATACTCATTTTTAATCATACATTTACAAAATAATATATTTTGCACGTAAATTCAAAACTTTTTCTTACTTTTGAACCACATATTCTCCAAAAAATTACTATTTAAAACTCAATTTTTTCAAAATA